GAGTGTACTCAAATGAGGGGAAATGCTAGCATAATAGCCAATGGAAAAATTGGCAAGGCACTCAGTGACATTTTAAAGACATTTGCTCACAGACCACTTAGCCACAAAGGACAGTTTCACTGTCTGTGTCTCAGCTACTGGGTGTTTAATTCATAGAAATCAATGACGACAAGCCTAGATAGACCACCATACATGGGGTAATACAACCATGAAGACTTGTTTGTTTCTTTCTAACAGTGACTGTATTTATTATGTTCTTTCTGGTGGCACTTGGCATTTCTTAGCTAGGGATCAGTAGAGCTGACAACTCAGAACTTCTAAGAATTACTATCTATTTACCACAATCTCCACATTCAAAGAATTAGTAACATGTTTTATTTTTTAAATGAGCATTTTCTTTTTATGACTTTGCTATAACTTAGAAAACCCCACAGCTTTCAAACCACAGACAACAGTTCTGACCAGGATCATAAGGTAACCTACAGATACTTGGAGAGTTAAAAATTGTGAATTTAATTTGCCATGAAGTTAAAAATCACTCTATCTCACCCATCTGTCCATCTGTCTATGTGTGCATCCCATCCCATCCTGTCCAATACTTCAAGCTGGCTAGGTGTCTACTGACCAAATTCATAGCAATGTTTTTAGTATTAAAATATAACTCAGTGTGGAGTAAAGATACATTACCCATGAATAAAGCATTGAAGGAGGAAGATAAAAAAATTCAGTTCTTTTCCATTTTGTAGAACTGCTGTGGACAATTATTAAACCCAGATTATAGTGACAGATGGTATTTAAACTCTCTGGCTCTTTGTCAACCACTATCTGCCTCAAGACTCTTTTTTATTGAATTAATATTTCCTAGATATTTTGTTTTAGAATAGAAGATACACACTCTTTAATATCACAGAAAATTGGTCAACCTTTCCAACACAAGCGAGACTGGAAATCAAAGCTGTTAAATGTGTGGTTTGTTCTTGACTTCTCTAAAATCATTGCTGCTACATTGTAATAACAAACAAAACATTCCAGAAAAAAATATGGCCTTGCAGGTAAAACAACAGCACTGGTAGAAACATGGCAAAGTAGAAAAATCAAAGGTTACAGAGTCAAGTGGACCGGGGTTCAATGACTCTGCTACTTAAGAGCTGTGTGTCCGTAGACATGTTATTTACCATCCTTGGGGAAGGCTCTATTTTTTCATCTGGAAACTGGTTAATAGTCCTCAGAATGTGGGTTTAATGAGATAATGCATGAGAAGGATCCTGCTCAGAGGATCCTTCCTATAAAGGTTCACCATTGTAGAGGATGGTGAACCTTGCTGATGTATAAATAATTACTGCTCAATGATTTCATATAAAGAACTTGGATGTGACCTTGAAGGCAGGTTTAATCCTGGCTTCTAGACTTCCACTGAGAAACTTTTTCCCTCTCTGGTAACAGTCTTTTCCTTACACCCATACATAGAACCCTACACTTCCTAGTACTCGCCCCAGCTCTGGGTAATTAGTCATGCTTGCAATGCCTCTCTTCCCCACTAGGATTTGTTATCCCTCTAGAAAAGGGCCTTGCATATAGTAGCTATTCAATAAGTTATTTGCAGACTGAATGAAGAACACCTGTTACAGAGTTTCCAACATGTGACAAGTACCACTAGTGATATGTGAGATGATTTCAGGGGTTGATCATGGACTAAATTTCTTAATAACTTTACTGTATTTATTTTAGTGTATATCAGACAAATGAATAACTGGCTCATCCAATCTGTGCTTTTATATATTTTTGTTTAGGATGAGGTTAAATAAAAAAGTAAATTGATTTAGGGTAATAAAAAATTAAGTAAGTATAGTTGTTATAACTATGGCAGAAACCATGATGTTAAAAAAGATGACAAAATTTGGGAAGTCTGCTTTCAAAATCCATGGTTTGTGAATTTGCAGCTGGACACTGTAACAACTGGTCAACAGTGAATCAAGAGTCAAGATGGAACAGGTCAAGCAGGGGCTGGACCCCAGAACACAGCTGATATAAGTAAAAAACATGCATGTTCAGATATCTGGCTGTTATCATAGGAAATGCCAAACGTGAACTGAGCAGGAACGAGGGTCAGACCCCATGGCCGTCTTTAAAGTCACAGCCAAACTGGTAGGAACTATCTAAGAGACAAGGCACCCACCTCAGGAAGGGTGTGTGGTAGGACCTGAGTTATTCTCCTTGAGCCTTAAAGGCACTGCATTCTGAAATTGCTTTTGCCTCCAGGCAATTATTTCTGTTTCCTACCTCTCTGCAAGGCTCCAAGAGAGGAGGTACTTTCTTTTGTGCACATTTGAAGAGCCAGTGGGTCTCTACCCAATATCTCACTTTCTCAGCAAACTGAAGCAGACTGTTGCTGCTATCGTCAAAGGACCTTTCTCTGAGCCTCTCACATTCCAACATCCCCCTTCCCAGAACCAATGCTGGGGTGAAGAGACAATCCTGTCATCTTGGATTAGAACACAGAATGAATTTTCCCATAGGAAAAAAATGTTATGACTAGAAAATAAATTTCGATGAATTGGTACAAGTAATGTTTCTTTCATTCATGTTCCAGGTTATATAGGATTCTGCAAGCTAGACTGGGAACCAGAATATCTATTACATTATCACATCAGTGGAAAACGTTTTAATGGTATAAAATAAAAATTCAGGTTGCATTTGTTCCATAGGTGGTGACTACCTATGTGGTAAAAATACCACAAATTCCTCACTAGTGAATACTTAACACTATACATCTTCTATTTTATCTTTCTTTTTCACATCTTTCAGAAAAATATTGGTTTTATCACCAATTGCAGGTGGTTTTCAAGTCTTGTACTATTGAAAAAGAACTCATCACTCTCTCGCCATAACAAATGGACTCTATCTTTACATTCGAGGACAATTCTAGATACATAAACGTAATTCCAATAAATATTTCTCTAATCAATTCTCAGCTGCACCAAGTTATTCCTGGGACGAATTGGAATGACAGTCTTAACTCTCACCTGGCAATACTGACGGGAAATTATTCCTGGTTCTGACCGTAAACCTTTAACTGATGTTTTCCACACTTGTCTGATGAAAAGAATAACATGAGCACTTTTAAAAACAAAAATGCCTGGCTCCAGCCTAGTACTGAATCAGAATTTCAAGAGAGAGATCTGAGAACTGAATATTCAAAGACTGCCCATCCCTGGTGATCCTGTCACCCAACACAGTGGTTCTTAGCCTGGAGGGTGAATGCAGATCATTCTGGAGGGCTTGTTAAAACACAGGTCGCTGGGCTGCAGCCCAAGAGCTTCTGATCCAGTCATGCTAAGGTATGACCTGAGAATTTTCTTTTCCAACAAGGTGCCCAGTGATACTGATGCTGCTGGTCCAACGACCATACTTCCAAAATCACTTACAGGAATACCTCGGCGGTACTGCGGGGTAGGTTCTGGACCACCGCCATAAAGCAAGTATCACAATAAAGTGAGTCGTAATCTTTTTGCTGGAGGGTTTTACCTTCAATTTGTAAAGAACGCAACAACTGTGAAGCGCAATAAAGTGAGACACAACAAAAGGAGGTATGCCCGTATTTAGTCTGTTTGGCAAACACTGTAGTCGAATTCAATATTACTTTCCTTCTTTCCTCCTCAGTAGAAAAACACTATTTAAGAACTCAAAAAAGTTCCTTTGGAATCATACCCCTGCTACTTTTTAGCTACTTGATGTTAGACAAATAAATTTACAACACCTCTGCTATCTCTTATTCTGAGGAATTAAAAGGTAACATAAAGGAAGTGGTTTGGTCCTGTACTTGGCACACAGTAAACCTACATCAAACATCTGTGTACTTTGGTACCCTTGCCATCCATGATCTCCTTTCGTGAGTTATAGATAAATCTACTGAGTTCTAGAAATAGGTCCCAAAATTTATTACATGCACAAAACTTCATTTAATTCAAACAAAACAAACAAACAAACGAACAACAAATAAGAAAGCAGCGGCTGACTACTTCTTGTAAGCTATCATGTAGCTGCGTTTTAAACATAGCATGTCCAATGGGAATGCACTCAGCTTTCCAATTCACATTTTTCCATAGAAGTAAAAATAGAAAACAAAGAGAGATTAGATTATAATTAGGTTCTCTGTTTAATTTTGCCCAGGCTGAATTTAGTACCCAGGTACGGATTATTTTCCTGGCAGATCTTTATGATATTGTTTGGCTAATTTTTATGACCTAAAAATCAAACAGAGGAATCACAGATTCTCAGAGTCAGAAGAAGGCCCTGGAGGTCATCTAGCCTGCCCACCCACCCAGTCTATGAACATTGCTGAAAACACCTCCCTGTGTGGTGGTCAAGTCTCTCCGGACTCTATTTTCATAAACTCCCATCTCCTCTACAGATAACTGTCTGATAGGTTTTTTCCCCCTTCTGAGCAAAGACTTTATTTCTGTCATTTAAATATCTTTGGTCCTAGTTCTGCTCACTATAGCGCCCGAGCACGTCTAATCTCTCTTCCACATGACAACATTTAAAGTATTCTGAAGTAGTGCTGACATCTCCCTTGCCTATTCCTTTTCAATCTAAACATTCTGTTTTTTCAACTATTCTCACCATCAAAATGTCCATATACTTAGCCCTGGTCCTCCACCTGTGGACAAAGTCCACTTTGGGGATATTTCCTCACTAAAAAATACTATAATATGCTTCATGGTCCTATTATATTGCCAACAAAATCAAAATGAATTGTAAGAAAGGTGTTCCCTTATAAACAGAGTTTCTAAGAGCTAGAAGCTATGGTCATACAAAACAACACTGTAGGGACTGAGACGGTGGCTTCGGGACAGGCCTGGAAGTGGTAGCCTGAAGCAGGTTCATCTGGATATCATGACCCTACCTGAAACAGAAATACCATGCTGCCACTTAAATTACCGAAGACCCAGAATGTTTCTTTGCAAAGAAGACAGAGTGAAACAAAAGTAATTTCTTACTTTCTACGAAACATTTCTGCAAATATGCAGCCAACGCTCCAGAGGTCCACGGGGGTGGCGTAGCTGGACTGAAGCAAAACTTCTGGAGCTCGGTACCACAGCGTGACGACCTGCAACAGCAAACGAATCTGAGTGTTAGCAAGGAGGGCGGGTTAGCTGTTTGCTTAGACTCCTCATCCTGGTGCTTTAACGCCAAGATTCAGTTCGGAAAGATCACACGGGGACACTGAGATAGAAGCAATAGGGAACGAGGACTCATTGCCGACAGGCCAGGAAATGACATCATCCCCACAACCTGAGTTCCCAACTCAGACTGTGTGTGTCTTATTAGGAGGGTGAAATAACTGAGTTTCGGAAAGAAAAGCAAAGGCTTAAAAAAAAAAACAAACCAAAACAACTTATCTTAAAACAATTGCTTTTTTTCTTAAGGAGCTTAAAAAAACAATACATGGAAAACAGGTGATGGCAACAACTCGAGCTCTATTCCCAGGTCAGCATTATGGGAAATTAGAAGGTAATTCCTGTGGCTGCTGGATGGTGACCCTGAAGTCTACAGAGCACCCAGGATAAGTCAAAACTACTCTTATCATGAGACTGTGGGGAATTAAAATAAAGCCTCCTTCAATGCTGCTCTTTTCAGAAAACAATTAAAAAATGAAGAACTTAAGAGAAATGTGTAACCCAATTATTAATACCATGTGAAAAAGTCGTTCCGAGGAAGGAATTTCAAAATGGAAAGAACCCCATTTAATACAGAGCACTGTACAATAATAGCAGAAACAAACACAACTGTAATGATTCTGCCAGGTTGAGAGGTGAGGAAAGCATATCATTAAGGCTGTAGATTTATAAAAGTATATAGGGATTTCAAATGCTTTTTCTTTGAAGAGAGGGTGGAGCAGATTTTTTCTATAGATGCCTGACATGAAAGTGTATTCTTTACTGTCAGAGAAGGAATTCAATATGTAAATTTATTACACAAACATTTTCTATTATCCAGATTCCTGTTATCCTTACTTACTATTTTGTCTAATTGTATTTTTGTTGGTGTCTATCTAAATTTCTGATATTCTGCTTTATGTATTTTGATGTTAAACGTATTTGGTGCATTAAAATTGCAGTAGCAAGTCTCCAAAACTGGCTGCCATCGATTTTCTTCTCTCCTTGATGCACACACGGCCCCTCCCACCAAGGGATAAAGTCTAATTTGCCTTCCATTGAACCTGAGTTGGCCTTAGTAACTTGTTTGATCAACAGGGATGGTTGAAGTGATGTCTGAGACTGCCAAAGCTAGGTCACAAGAAACCTGATTGCCTGGATCTTTTGAATACTTGATCTTGAGATCTTCCACTTGGAACCCAGCTGCCAGGCAGTGAGAAGCCCACAAAGACATTCTGGTCAACAGCTCTAGCTGAGCTCTCAACTAAAAGCCATGTGAGTGAGCCATCCTGGACACTCAAGCCCAACTGACCCCGCCCCCACCTCCCCCCCAGATGACTGCAGACCCTGCCAATGTCATATGGAGCAAAGAACTGCCCCGCGGGGTCCTGTCAACCCACAGAATTGTGAGTGATAATAAAATGGTTGTTGTTTTAAGTTTTGGGGTGATTATATGGTATATCTAACTGAAACAAGATTTTTGACGTGTTCTTCCTCTTCATCTCATTCAACATATTTTGCTTTGAATTCATACAAAGGCTCAAGATTTGTTTAAGGCATATTTGGTTGATATCTAATAGAGATGATGGTCATGTAGTAAAAATTAAAAAGAAGAGAAACAAACCCCAAGCGCACAAACCCACAAAAAACAAATACTCAAACAATGTTACTCAGTTATCATTTGGCTCCATCATATCTTCCCAACATCATCTCCCACCGTATTTCCAAACCCCTTACAGTTTAGTCACACAGGAGACCGCACCACCGGCTCTCAGCCCTGACTGTGCACCCGAATTATCCAAGGGGACTTTAGAAAAGCATCGGTGTCTAGCCCTTACCTCGCTTTCACTGAATTAGGTGTCCACGGGTGGGGGCCCCGGACTGGTTTTTCTTTTCTTTTTAAGTTCTTTGGGTAACTCTAACCCTTGGCTAGGTTTGAGCACTGTTATATACACATATCCCCCAGCTCCAGTTTCCATGCTTTCATTGATGCTGTTCTCCTCAGCTGGAGAGCTCTCTTTCATCCCCTCCACATGCAGAAATTCTACTTAGCCTATAAAGCCCAGCTTTGATGCCATCACCTCCCTGAACTCACTGCCACCTGAAAATGATACCTTGTAATAAGTTCATAACTTGGTTTGTCCAGGGGGTATGGACTCAATTTTATTCACGCTTATGCCCGCCACAATTCCGTGCACATAACAATCGAGGTTTAACAGATACCAAATTAACGATTTAAAGGCAATCATCCCTAGAAGATAACTGGGCAAAATTTAATTACCAGTCATTCTCCACCACCTCCCCCCAACCCAGAAAAGGTACTTACTACTTTTTCTAAGCAGAGTGTCCGATTCTGAGCTCTAGTTTTTAGTTATAATTTATTTCTGCTTTACTAACATTTCTAGCTGGAGGAACACTTTTCTACTTCTCTGATACACTGTAAACAAAAGTGCAGGTGCAAACTGTCCTTAAAGTTCCATTTGAGTGGTTTACAGAAATACACACACAGACTTATCTTCTCGCCCCAATTCTTAAGTCTAGCCTAACATCATATAAGATGAAAAGTTTAATCTGAATACAGCATTATTTTAAACTGTTTTCTCAAGAGGCTGTCATTTCTGATTGATTATCCATCCCAAACTGCTTTGGAAGAACTATCTTTATTTTCAGTACTTTAATCAGTGATACTTATTATAATCATCAAATAAATGTTTTGACAGCTAAACTAATAACAATAAAGATTTGTTTAGGAAGTTCCCTTCTGTTCCTTTTAAAATTAACACTCAAAATAGATAATGAATTTTTATCAAATAGTTTTAAAAATGTTTTTTAATAATAACCATATGATCATTCCCTTTTATTCTATTAATAATATATTAATTACATTAATACATTTCCTAACATTTTACCTTGTCTTCTTGGAATGAATCATTCCTAATCATGGTTTATTATTCTTTTAATAGACTCTTGGATTGTACTGGCTAATGTTTATTTAGGATACTAACGTACATTCATAAGTGAGACTGATCTATAGTTTTCTTTTTTGTGTTAAGTTTTCATGTTTGATATTGGGAATACGTGAGTTTTCCACCCTTTTCTATATTCTGAAATATTATAAACAACATAGGAATAATCAATTCCTTGAAGGGTCTGGATCTTTCTTAGCAGTTTATCTTTAACAATCTTGTGAATTTCTTCTTGGTAATTAGTTTGTTCAGCTTTCAACCACTTTTTTGAGTCAATTTTGCTAATGATAATGAATTTCTCTATGAAAACCTTTAAACCAGATTTTAAAATGTATTGGCTTAATTTTGTACCTGTATTTTTTTCTAATTATTTTAATATCATCTGCTTCCTTGCTGTATATTTTTGTTTTCTCTTTATATCATTCAGGTATTCCAGGAGTTTAGCTACATTATTTATTTAAAAAAACTGAGATGGAGTTTTATTTCCATTTTGAGAGAATAATTGTTTTACTTTATAATTTGTTGACTTCTAGTTTTCTCATTTTTATTAATCTTTGAATAATATGTGATTTAACTTTAATTTTCTCTTAAAACAAGAGTAAACTAATTTGAAGAATAAATTATTTATAAAAGTGTTTCAAAATTTCCATATGGTCAGGTTATTTATGGTTATCTTTTAATTGCTAAATTTCTAGTTTTATCGTATCATAGTCAGAGAATATAACCTGTACAATTTCTACTTGGTAGAATCTATTATTGTTTTCTTAATGACTATGCACACATACTTGGTTTTTGTTCCATAGTGGATAGGAGAGTATTCTCTTTCAAGTGTCAAGTTCTTTATTACCAAGAGTTTGTCTCACACAGATACTTACTTATATTTTCCTATCCTTTGTCTAACTCTGAAATAGAATTTGAGTTTTTGTTTTCTTCCCCCAGAATCTCCTTGTATTTCTAAGGATTTCTGCCTTATATACAATGGCCTTATGCTTTTGGTTAATAAAATTTATGACAACAAAAATATTATTACGATAATAAGAATTTAGATGATGGTAGACATAAAATATAAAATAAATACACAAATTCTAGTAAGTCTGTTACAAAATATAATGGAAAAAAGATCCCATTCACTATAGCAACAAGAGCTGTATATCGCTGAGAAATAAAAAAAGCACTATCTATATAAATAAAATGATATACTATTGTTAAAGAACATAAACTAAATATTGAGACAAACCATGGCTAAGATGGGAACAAGCTATATGGTAAAGATAATAGTCACTCCTATATTGACACAAAAATTTAAGATAATCCAATGATTTTGGTGAGGAAATTTAACTTTGACAGTAAGGTACCTCTGGCAGAATAACACTTAAGAACAGCCAAAAATGGTTTCAGCAATAAGGATGATGGGGATTTATGCTCTGTTATCAAAATATACTCTAAAGTATAGCAAATAAAATGGTAGTACTAACAGATTACAAGAAAAGTAAAGTCCAGAAAGAGATTGGTATGTTTATGAGGTTTAACATTCTTACATGTGCCTAAAATTCATCTTAGTGAGAGAGAAAATATACTTCAACATGTGAAAGCAAGGCAATCGGCCATCTATCTGGAAGGAGGTAAGTTTGATCCCTACTTTACACCATCTATAAGAAGAAACTGTATGTCGATTAAAGATCTAAGAAGTAGAGTTAAGAAATGTATTAGAAGAGAATAGAAGAGGACTTTGGGATATGGAAGCCTTTTTTAGCATGAGGAGAAATCTGGAAGCCTGACATGAAAAGATTTATAGATACAGCTATTAAAAACTGAAATCCTCTTCAGCAAACACTGTATATAAAGGCAAAGGACAAATGACAAACTGGGAGAAAACATCTAAAACAAATTACATCAATAAAACATTAAAACACAAAAATGGATAAAAAATATGAAAAGACAATTCACAAGAAGAAAAAACTATCAAAGAGACTCAATCTCTTTAA